TTAGTATTCGCCTCTGGTTGCGTTGAGTAACTGAGTTTCCGTTGCTAACTACCCATCTTCCTGTCTTTTGTTTTCTTTTTCTTTGTTCTCCTGAAGAAGCTACATGCAATTGTAGCGAAACGTCGATATGAACCCACTTTTGGGTCACTCACAAATGACACGGTTCAAACCCGGAAGACGAATAAACTAAAATATACTTACCTATAAAACCCAAAATGTGGACATATTTCCACTGAATTCTAATAAAAAACAAAAAAGTGGACATCGATGGTAGTAATATAAATTGGCTAAAATTAACATGGCTGCAGTACAGAAAAGACGATAATAAACATATTTTTTAAATAAAACAAGGAAAATGAAAATTTCGTAAATTTTCCATGCCAAACTTAACAACGGCATATGACAAAGGCCAATAAAATAGGAAAAATGTAAGGATTTAGAAGAACTGTAATAAAGGCATTATTCCTTCCCAGTATCATCTCTTCTATAAGTCGTTGCTTACCAACAATAAGGACAATCATAATATGTGCAAAGTGATTTATTTATGAATTAAATTTATTGCTTGAAAAAATGTTTTCAAAGTTTGTGTTAATTAAAAAAATATATATTTTATGATTTTAAATAAAGTTGTAAACGTCTCGATGGGAATAACCACAACATATTTATAAAAAAAACTAAATTGACGTTTCAACTTCTAATTCAGAAATCGTTGTCTAAACATTTTATAAAGTTTATTTTTTTAATAAATATATTGTGGTTATTTCCATCGAGACGTTTAAATAGTAGTTAATGCCACAAGAGAATGGTTTCAAAACAATAGAAAGTTATAAAATAAATTATTGTTAGTAGTGAAATAGTAAAATATCAGTTGTGAAATTAGATTATAATGTTACAGCAAAGAATTACAAGTAGGTACCATTTCTTTTAGAAAACCTTAGAAACCATACTACAAAGTCATTTGTATCTAAATGGCGTGGTTAAGTTTTCGGACCAGGTACATATTAAATACTTTTAATTATCATACCTGCCACTCAGTATGTTCATCTCTCTAAATTTATCGATATTACTCAAATGACTTTATAATAGGATTAAGATTAAGTTTTTCTAAAATAAAATGGTACCTACGTAAGTCTCTATAATAAGACTTTTCAGTTAGGGACATAAAAATGTATCTCCGCTACTTTATCTAATTGTCTATATTTTGAAAACACAATTTATCCATTGTTGCGTATAATTGTATTACCGTAAAGAATACATTTCTAATATTAATAATTCGGAACAAAAAAGTTGAGAATAAACTACAGGTCATTACAAAATGCAAATCATTCTTTTAAAAACCTTAAATAAGCTCTCCTGAAAAAGTAGTCATTTTTGAGATACAGTTTTGTGTCACTAAGCCGACGAGTTGGAACTGGAGTCAGCGAACCGAGTATACTAAAGTTATAGCAAAGAATATAGACTATATTCTTTGGTTATAGTTCAAAATATGTTTGATTGTTAGGCCCATATCATAGAGAAATAACAATAATACTTATTTGTTATTTCTCTAATCCTGCATTGGAACAGTAGACACTTCTGACTGAAAAATTAGATAGTCTTGGCTGAGGTTATGTCGTTATGTTCTGTCGATGAGCAGCTCCGAATTCCGAATGTCCACGCTGCTATGATTAATCGAATTATATGTAAACGTTCTATAAGTAAATAAATAGTTATGTTTTGCTATACTCTATTCGCTTAGCTCGGGATATTTTGTCGGAAACCTACAACACAACAATTCCTACTTCTCAGTTATAATAGCTCAAGCTCAAGTATACTACTATTGCAAACTTTTTTCTGCGAAAAAAGAAGAATTATTCTAAATAGTGGAAGTGTATACTAAACCCATCAAATTTTGGGTAGTATATATTTAAAAAATATATTTTAGTTGTTATAATTTAACATAACTATTTATTATATGGTACAAATAAATAAATAATGATTGTCGGTAATTCGCAAAGTTTTATTTTATTTACTATTTACTTTGTTTATTATTAATATTGGCTATGAGTACGTGTGCTTGGTTGTATAGTAATTTCCAGCCACTTTTAATCTGTCAAAAAGTAACTAACTTCTCAAAAAAATAATTACTAAATTCACTAGACAGTTCGGACTGGGAATAGCGAACCGAGTATAGTCTGTGCTTCATTAAATACACAACACTGATGAGGATAACATATTGTATAAGGTCAGTAACAATGACAGAAGAAATATTTAATGGAAAAAATTGGAAATGGGTTCATAAATGTTTACCGTCTATAAGCAATTTTATAAATTAAAAACGGGCAAAAGGCTTTCTGCGGACCCCATCAGTGCAGAGTCGACAATGGCCGCGCCGCGGTTGTATGCACAATCCTGAGGCCGGTAAACAGGCTTGTTATTTTAATGACATCCGATTCTACGACATAAATCTTGTCATCTGCTGTTGCCTGGTATAGTTATCACCCGTTCTTGACTCGTTTGGATAGAGGGTCGCCAATGGTACTTTCGTGTGGGATATCTCGAAGAATCCGCAGGGCAATTATTTGACATAATTTTGTGATACTCCCTGGCCATCGTTGCCATATGTAGGATATCTGGCAATGTTATATGACTCAGAAATGGAAGCAATCTCGAGTTGATTTATTAGTATCAGTTATTACTCTCATAGTGTAATTTAGTTTGACATCGGTCTTGTTTACATGAACACTATAGCCATAATGGTGCACCAGGTCCAAAGTAGAGTCGCAGGGCACCTCATGTTCCAGCAAGCTTCGTTATTATAATGGTTACGGATTCTTACTTTAACAGCTACATTCGTAAGGTGGTTTTGAATATCAGCGATCTATACGGGTATTTAGGGTTTTTATTATATTTGATAGTCTCGCCGTTGAAAGTATTGCTAATCCCCACAAACCAATCTGTGAGACGGAAGAGGCAGGTTTCAGTTTTGTTGATATAGGGGTAGTCGCGAAGCACCCTTAAGTCATTGTTCAAACCCCTTTCTCTCACTTTTTGGCTTGGTTTTGAAATGTGATAACCAGGTCATCGGCATAGGAGCTTAGAACCCAATATTTAGTCTCAGTGGTTCTTAGTTCCTCTTAACATCAACCAAACTACTCAGCTTAATAGGATTAAGCACTCGAGACTGACAGGATATCGCCTGCGAAATCTTGTGTCACTATTCACTGCCGTAGATTAATAGACAATAGTAGACAATAACTATATTCCATAGCGTTGGTGACTAGTCCTCATTGAGTTTACTCTGCCGTTAACCCATCGAGCAATAAGACAAAAGAGGGAATGTAAAGGTAGTGGGGGCAAACATATTGTTAGACAGGAAGTGCGATCTTTAGAGGCCACATTAAACAAGGAAAGAGAGTCTCTCTCCTTGTTTGACATCAAATTTAGTTGGGTTATGTTATTGTTTGTCCCAAATGTCACATGAAATCTTATTTATATTGAAGTTTTTTAACAATTGTGTCGCATTTTAGACTATTATCATTAATAATTAATTAAAACTTTCTCGTCTAAGACACATTCTGAAAAATATTATATAGCTACCGTTGATAAGTGTCGGAAAATTTAAATTTGGCGCATTCACATTTCCGGATATGTCCGCCATCAGAGGCCACTTTTTTGGTCTCCTTTTCATAAGCATTAGATTCCATCTTTTGTCTTATTGCTCGATGCGTTAACCTAGATAACTCGTTCATGCGTTTCCACGGATATAATTTTGCACTAAAGCATTTGAGTTAGCAATCTAAATGGTATTTCATTAGATCGATAGATCGCATGTAACAGTATGTGCTAACCTATTTTTTAAACGTTCGTAAACTCCAAAGCAAAGAATGGTTAAAGAACGTACAAATCTAAAAAAAATGTAGTTCATCTACAAAATCAACACCTAAAACTGTTAATACTGTTACGATAAATTCTGACCCAAAACCGTAAACATATTTATTACTAATATTCCTATACATTCACTTATTTTCTAGGTCATATACTACCGATCCGAACTTTCTAGAGGGGGTCAAATAAAAAAACTTCAGGTAACATCAACTGGCCCGACTGATATAAAAAACCACCGTAACCTTCCAATATTTTCGCCAGGTCAACATAGACGGGCTTCGAGAAATTCTATACCAGACGAGAAGGCCATCGACTCTTTTAGTCTAACAGATGTTTTCATATAAAATAACGGAGCTTTCATTGTGGGGGCGGTCAGAAGAAAAGCGCGCCTCGTTTGACATGTAAAGATCGTAATAATAAATTATTATTGTAAGATAAATTATTATAAATAAACTTTAAATTAAGTTGTAAGTGTTATAAATTAGAACCTTTGATAAATAATAAAAACAATAAATTAGAATTAATAAAGACTTACCAATACTTTGTCAAATCTGAGATTTTATCAAACAAATAACTTATTTTGTAATTGATAGTTTATTTGCAACGAGATAATTGATCAATAATACATGTATTAAAACATAAAACCATATATTTTAGATTACAAATAGATTAGTTTGAGTACATCACAGTGTGTAGAAAATGTTAACGCTTACAGCTAGTTTAATTAAGGAATACTGATATATAAATAATTTATATATAATTCTAAAGATTTTAGTTCACGTACATGTCTGACGGTAATATTATTTTCATAAACTTGTTTTAAAAATTATTATTTATCTTGAACGACTTTTTTTAATAACATAAGTTCTCCACAAAAGTTCGCTAAAGATAGCTTAAATTCTAGTGACAATTTTATGATTGTTTGATATGATTACCTAATCCAAGAATGCTCTCTATATATAAAGGAATATAATGTTATTAATGTAATTTTATTAATATTTTTTCCTTTGGCCAATTTCGTTTCAGAAAACATCATAAAAAACTTTCTCTTCTTCAATTTTTATATAAGGCATATTCCGTTTTATTCTCGATTCCTTTTTGCTCTACGACCAGTCGTAGATTTGTTATTTAACCTTATTTATTCTTTCCCTATTACTCAACGTCTATTTTTTTTTGGAAATTATTGTGACTCTCGTCTTACTCTCGTCAATATTGGCATAACTAGACATTTTAATACATATAACTGCTTTCCTAATTATCTCAATAACTTAATTTTCTATTGCCATGAGTATTTTTTATGAAGTCATGGTAATTTTGTTTGTAGAAATGATTGATTATTTCGTGTATAATGGTGTTAACACGGAGTTGGAATAGCATATAAAATGCCTGTTATTTATTTGAAGGTTATTGAAACTTTTTTGAAATGTATAAAACTCAAATACCTACTAATTATTTTAATGAATTTTTGTTATCTGGTATATGAGACCATTTGTGCATGATCTTCCAGATCTCAACCCTTATTTATTTAAGAAAGATAGTAGCATAGACATATAATACAAGATATACTAACTACTGATTATTGAACGTTCATATTGGCAATAAGTCTTCTTCCGGCTGGGCCCCTTTTTCCGACGATCTTACCCTGTATTATTAGGACATTATACAGCCGAAATATTTTAACTTTTGAATTTTTAATGTTTTCGTTATTTATGTGTTCTTTTTCATTAATTCATTCACTATGCGTATTATTATTTCTTTACTCATATCCCAGTTATTGTTAACATTGGCGCACAAATAGGTATATTCTAACTTTGTTTCATAGGCTCTGATATCTTTGATATATATTTGACCCTATATTATAAATATTTCATTGGAAATCTTTTTACGATATGTATGTGAGCTATGGAATTGCTGATTATATTTCAGATTCTTTTGTTTTCAAGTATTATACCAAACAAATATTTTTCCAAACAAATATAAAATTGATAAAACAAGTATATGAATCTTTCCAACAATTATTATGACTAGTTTAGTGTTTACCATGCAGAATTAGAAATCATGCATTTGAAACATTTTGGTCCCATTAAGCCATGGTTTCTGGATGTTTTGCACTGAACTGGGGCAACAGCTCATCAAATCTTCTATTTAAAAATCCAACTTTATACATCAATCCATTCACAGTATCTTCCATGTAAGCCTGTCTACGCCATTCTAGCTGAGGCAAGAGCAATTCAGATTGAGCTATTCTTGATTCCAAAGTTCTTATCTTTTGTTGAACAGCATCAACATAAGCATCTTGTAAGAGGCTAGCTGCGGGTCTGTCTGAAAATACTAGTTTTTAAAAAGGATCAATCTTGTTTTAGAATTTTGTACTTACCAACATAGGAAATGTTTGTGATGTCTATTTGGAAGTATCTACAAAAAAGTAAGGTATTTAGTTATGAATTTAATTAACAGAAATAAATGTTATTAACAGCTATCGATAATAAACAATATTGTCTAATTATATCAAGAAGAGGTAATTTTCATAACCCCTTCCTTCCTTCATGTGCCCTGTCCGCCCCGAACGTTGGCAATCAACATGGCTATTCTGACTTTGCTTACGGCAGATCTGAATAGTTCAGCAAATGACAATCCAAACCATTGCCGCAAGTTTTGGAGCCACGAGTGTCTTCTCCTCCCTGGACCCCTTCTGCTGTCTATTTTCCCTTGAACGATCAGCTGTAGTACTCTATATTTATTGTCTCATAACGTGACCCAAGTATTCCAACTTTCTTTTCTTTATACTTATTCCTACCTCTCTCTCTTTACCTATCCGGCGTATAGTACCTCTTCGTTGGTCACGTGCTCAGTCCAGGATATACATAATATACGTCGGTAAGCCCACATTTCGAAGGCCTCTACTTTTTTCATCAATGTTGCGGTCATTGTCCACGCCTCCATTCCATATAACAAAACCGCGAATACATAACATTTCAGAAGTTGAATTTTGAGAGGTAGGGTGAGGCTTTTAGAGGTGAAAATTTGCTTCATGCTAGTGAATGATGCTCTTGCCTTTTCTACTCTTATACGTATTTCCTTCGCTTGATCCCAATTTGAGTTAACTGTCATCCATTAACATCCATTTGGTTTTTGTGATATTTAGTCTGAGTCCGTATTGTGCACTTGTTTTTTGTATCTTTCATAACCCCACATCTCCAAAAACATTCTTTTTATCAAGAGATGTTTCTAATTCATCATTTTAAAATACATAGCCTATCATGTTTATTGTGAATCAAAACCTCACTGTTGCAGTTGTAATATAAATTCAAAAGTAGGTGTTTAAAGCACCACCTCACATTTGATTTGTGATGGTTATAGCAAAACCCCACATTTCCTATTCATCCAATGAGGAGTAGGTATTCCAGTCATGTGACTTAGACATATGGTTTTGATTGTTATTGTTGACAGTACACAATCTTAACAGGTTAGTTTCAGAGGAAGGTTATAATTTAATGTATGTACTTAATTGAGTTAAATAATTAGTTTAAATGAAGGTAATGTAGATAGTGAATTAGATATAGTTGGAAGAGGAAGTACTGGATCATAAGAAAGATAGTTCCCAAGCTATAACTTCTTAAAGAAAAGAGGTACACTGCTTCTGCTGGTGCTTGTGTGTTCATAGGTTGTTAGGTTCATAGGTACCCATAGATGTCAGTGTCTGACATCTATGGGTACTATGAAAAGATGGACTATAAAATTAAAATTGCTACAGGAACTCAAAAGCAGATACTTTTTACTGAAAAAAGAATACACACGAAAAGGGCAAAGTGTTTCTATGACCTAATGAAAGAAACCAAAGAAAAGGAGAAAACTTTATGCTTTGACATGCAGCAGGTGCAACCACTTCCTTGAACAACTATGGAACAGGCTTTTATGCCAGACAACTAGGTCTTTACAATGTTTGTGTAACAGATATTAAGAATGACTACCCAGTACTTTTATATCTCAACTAAAGAGCAAGCAGGGCATAGTTTGACTGAAGTAGCTTCTGCTCTTCTTATTACCTTCAATCAGATGAGCTTACAGATGTAACCCACCTGAGATTGTTTTGTGATGAATCTACTGGAAACTGGAAGTATGTTGCTCAAGATAAAGATCAATGGAAGGAGTTGGAAGAGACCTATGTGCAAAAATTGACAATGCAAGGCTAAGAAAAAGATGAAGATGAGAAAACAGGATAAACTATAAATGATAATTTGGGAGATTAACCTATAATTATTTATTTATTATTTGATCAAGGTAAAAATCATTTTAGTATATTTTTTAACAAAAAAATTATTACAACATATGGTCAATTTTTGGTTGGGTACAGTAATTCTTGGATTTACTAATAAAAGTTTAAACCCTTTTAGATGCAGGCTTATAAAACCTAAACCATATAACACATAATTTACAGAAACCACAAATAAAGGAAGAACAGAATGTTTATTAATAATTGTTTTTTCTGTGTTGATCTGTATAAAGAATAGTTTTTAAAACTAGATACTGTCTTCTCGAACTTTAAGACCATTGCTAATGCAGATATCACTACCAAATATCACTGTTAAAATTCAGACATATAGTAAAGTTGATATAATATACTCAACACACATTAATTATGGACCAGTGTAACATATGGTTATTTTAAGATCCCAACAAATTTATTTATACAGAATAAGTTATTGATGATATATACCTGTCAGGTACATTTGGATCAGCTAAGAAAGATATTGGTACAAGAGCTCCCTCTCCATTACGAATCTTCATTACTTTTTCCCTGTTGACATTACATATTTTATACAATTCGGATTTTAAAATATTACCATCAGTGTGTGGAAGTATTTCAATAGTTTTTTTCACAATTTCTGGAGTTTCCTCTAAAAATGGATCTTAGTTAAAAATTATTATCCTGATTTTGCACTATACATACCAGACGAATCAAAATACTTTATTTTAAGATGAACAGTTCGTTTTTTGAATTCCATCGAATATTTACTAAAAACTTTACACTTTACTAAATCAAAAATAAACAAAAATCAATTTGATTTATGATAGGAGGTGTGTTTTTATTAGTTTGACAAATCTATTAATCTACAGATATTCGGCAACCTGCATTACTAAGACTTGTTTGGAAGTTGCATATATACATTTTATATAAAAATTTTTATGAAAACTTAAAGAAATACAATTTGTAATCGAAAATGAACGTAACAATTTATTTTTGGGTCTAATAAATTTTAGTTTCACTTTTTATTTTCATTTGTATCTGAAGGAACTAATAAATAAGAAAATTTATAACAACAATATTGGTTCTTAAATTAAAACTGGATATGTATAAGCAACCGATATACCGATAAGTAACTAAACACCATTTTGTAAATCCCTCCCTAATTTAGGTTAGCATCAAACCAGCTTATTACTAATAATTACGAGCCCTAACAACTAAATGTTCGGACAAACGAAAATTTATTGAAACAGTTCATCTTCACGATCTTTCTTATTGAACCAAAGAACGAGATCAATAATACATTAATCATAATAACAAAATATTGAAATGGCTCGGTCACTACTTTGATTTATATAATATAATAGACGAAAATATTGCATAACATCGTGACAACTAAATGTTCAGACAATTCAAGAAATTACTGTTTTAATATGGAGTTACATTGTCACGAGCCTTTACTTGCAGCAATACTGTCTGGCAATGTTCGTACTAAGGATTTACACAAGACATAATTCACCTAATTTACTCTTAAAATCGGCGACGGTTCTTTGGGGATCATTACGTAATTTCTGCTTCATCTTATGCCACAATGTCTCAATAACAATAAGGTTTGAGCTGTTCGAAAGCACAAACCTCGTTCGAAAGGACAACTAGAAAAAAGTAAATATGATATTGCAAACTCAATTGAAAAGTTCTACGCCGATCTGTACCGTTCCAGAAACGATCCCCCTAACTCCTCAAAGCAGAACTTGAAAAAGCAGATAACAAATGTCAACTCAGAAGTGACGCCCGAAATACGCCACGAAGAAATAGAAAAAGCAGTAAAAGAAATAAAAAGGAATAAAGCTCCTGGAAGCGATGGAATCCTAGCAGAAATGCTGGAGGAAGGCGGAGAAGAAGCCATCACATATCTAAAATACTATTTAATAAATGTCTATTCCAAGACAACATACGCGAACAATGAAATACTGCTAAAACAATACTAATACATAAAAAGAGAGACATCACAGACCTGAAAAATTATCGACCAATTTCACTTCTTTCACAACTTTACAAAATCTTTACAAAGAATATTACAAACAGAGGTTAACAATTAAATTTGACGGATATCAACCAGTAGAACAAGCCAGATTTAGAAAAGGGCACAGCACCTGTGACCATCTATATACTTTGAAAACCCTAATAGAAAAGACTAACGAATACAATCTCCCAATATGTCTGCCTTTTAAAATTATGAAAAAGATGAGAAAAGGCAGCAAATATTTGATTTCACGCAAACAAATCCTATGTATCTCTTGATACGTATTTCGACCTAATAGGTCTCGTCAGAAGAGCTATTCATAGGGGTTCTCAACGTGAAAAATCAATATTTTCTGCCTTTTAAGAAGCAACAATAACATGGCTTCAATACGGACGCAGTAGCGACATCTAATTAAACAATTGTAAAATAGTTTCGAAACACAATTCAGATTTCTGCTTTATAATCTGAGCCTTCTAAGAATTGCAAGGCAAACAGACGTTGATAAAAGATGTTAAAAGAGACATGGGGAATCTAAAATTTGCATTCCACGACATGTCTTTTACAACTAAGCAGAAATCCTTAGCGAATTGTGTTTCTCGTACTCCCACAGAGTATATCCGAATAAAATGAGAAAAGGCAGCAAATATTTGATTTCACGCAAACAAATCCTATGTATCTCTTGATACGTATTTCGACCTAATAGGTCTCGTCAGAAGAGCTATTCATAGGGGTTCTTCTTCTGAATTGTGTTTCGAAACTATTTTACGATTATGAAAAAGCTTTTGATAGTGTAGAACTGTGGGCAATAGAAGAACAACCGAATCGAGTCCAGGTACAGAATATTTACGAACAAGCTGAAATGATAGTGACGTTGGGTAATGGAATCGAAGCAAGACCAGTAAAAATCAACCGAGGAGTAAGACAAGGAGGCACAATATCTCCAAAATTATTTACAGCTGCCATAGAAGATATCTTTAAGCCAATAGACTGGGAAAATAAGGGAACCCCTATTAACGGAAGACACTTAAACCATCTTAGATACGCAGATGATGTAGTACTAACAGCCGAAACGTGGAATCCACTGAATACGATGATTGAAGAGCTACACACAGAATTCCTAAAAAAAGGAATGAAAATGAATTTCAGCGAAACTAAACTAATGTCAAACAAAGATGACAAACCTATGATAAACATCGAAGGGACAGAGATAGAACACGTAGATGAATATACATCATACGTACTTAAAAATAGAAATATACCTCAAAGACTGCGAACCAGTGATTAATTCCTATATTCTACCTGTACTTACATATGGAGCTCAAACCTGGACATTCACTAAAATAAACATGAAGAAGATCAGAAAAACTCAGAAAGCTATGCAACGACAGATGCTGGGCACCTCACTCAAAGACCATGAAACAAATGAGGACATTCGTAATAGAACAAAAGTAAAAGATGCTGCCGAACAGGCACCTAAACTGAAGTGGAAATGGGCTAGACATAACAAACGTTTTAAGGATGGTCGATGGACTAAAGAAATCGGCAATTGGCGGCTATATGAAGCCAAAAGACCACGAGGAAGACCGCAAATGCGCTGGAGCGACAATATAAAAAGAACTACAGGGCCAACGTGGAGTGGAAACGTCTTACAAACAATAGACATGAATGGCAATAATTAAGAGAGGCCTATACTAGGCAATCCGAATAGACATAAGGGCTTAAAAAAATTAAAAATAAGTAGGTTCAGATAGCTAGTACACGTTTAAATAACGAAAGAAAACTATTCTGCTAAACGAAACGTACTGTCGCTGTATGTGGAAAGTAAGAGTAGCTGTAATCTTTGACGCTTGTCAATAGATAAGAGCGATTGAAGAAATTAGATAAGGCTAAAATTCAACTAGGGCTATAGTACCTACCTACTACAAAAATGTAGGTAATGATGATTACTTCCAACTAGGACAACAAAATATCTAATTTAAAAGATTCCTAAATTCCTAAATCAAAATATTTAAAGTGAGAAAAAAAAAGAAAAATTTCATTTGTCTAAATAATTTATAATAGCTAGGACTTAAGATTGGAGTAGTAGTCACTACCATTGGAATAAAACCAAAAATTGATCTAACCTAAAACAAATCTGTTTACTTTTACTTCTTATTCCGTCGGGAAGTGACAGGAGTGTCCTGCTAACATTGCAGTGCACTCTAAAAACATGACTTAAAAGTCGTGCAATGTGACTCTTTTTTCAAATTTATTTCATTTATTCCTAGTGCCATGTATTTATCATTTAGTTCTAGTATACGGTGCGTGAAAAAATGACGGTTCCTACAAAAATCGCGATATCAAAAGTGTACAACTTTACTCAAGCCTCCATCTACAAAAAATATAAAAATTTCTTCTTTGTGCTGCTTATTATTTCTATATTTATCGCCCTCTCGGTTCCTTTGGCGAATTTTACTAGTGATGTGACTAAAAATTATGAAAGAATTGATTTTAGGAACCTAAAAAATCTACCTCTAGTGAAATTGACTAATAGTGTTAGTATAGTGACTCCTAGAAACTCCCAGTGTACACATTGGGACTGCTTTAACATTTATCGCTGTGGCCATACAGGACATGATAGGATAGCAGTGTATGTGTATCCACTTAGAAAATATGTGGATGAACATGGGGTACCTGCTACAGAGCATTTATCCAAAGAATATTATTATTTACTTAATACTGTGATCAAATCAAAATACTACACGGCTAACCCTGAGGAGGCCTGTATATTTATTCCATCCATAGATACTCTCAACCAAGATAGGCTAAGATTAAATCTTACTTCCAGAGCCCTAAGTTCCCTTCCATAGTAAGTACATTTTTATTGCTACTAGATATTATTATGTATTCACCATGAAAAATTATGCTTACTATTGTCTGTTATTTAATTATTTAGAGTACTTCACTATTATATGTTTGTTACCTCTAAACAAACTATTTCTGTAATAGCTTATTTGATCTATTACATAGATCTAGATTAGACATTATTTAAAATCCTTATTGTCATTTACTTTTCCCTAGAACTAATGGTGCCCTTTTAATTTTATCTAAAAAATGTTTAGTAAGGACATGGGGTGTAGTCCAGATTTTTTATATTTACTGTCAAACAAATTAATTTAATATAAATAATACTTTTTAATTTATATAATATTTACAAATTTTATTATCAATAATATAATCAATGACCAAAAGTAAATATTCCTTGAAATTTAAGTTGTATCTGACCCAATAAAATTTGAAAAAGACATTCAAATTGATGTTTTTAAGCTCTATTCCTGGGACTACTTTATTTAGCTATTGCAAGAAATAAACTTTTGTACAAAATTCTCTATTGGACCAATAATGCCATTCTGTTATTATGATAGTAATAATGGCAGCAAAAAAAATGCAATATGTACACAATAAGACTAATTTATAGAGAGTTTGCATATCTCTCAGTTCTCTGGAAGCATAAACAAGAGGGGAAACAAAACTGAGTTGAGAATGGTAAATGAAACCTTGCCAAAATACCATCAAGAAAATCACTAATTTGGTTTTTGCAAAAACCAATTTTATCCAATGCTGAGTCAAACCTGGAAAAACAAAGATTTATATATGTAAATAAACCTAAAGCTAATATTAATATTATTAGAAGTCTTTATAAAACTCATCAGGTTTCCAGGTTGAACCACATCCATTAAAGGGAATGATCACTGCTTAAAATTTTTGTAAGCTAATAAACAAATAGAATAACTTTTTCAATTTTCAATTAAAATACAACAAATTATTAAAACACTTAGGATATAATAGATTTTACAGTTTTGTGTTTTGTAAAACTTATTTATTTTCTTATTTTTATACAAAAAATTATACTTATAAATATTAATTTTTTTCCATTTAAGGTAAATGACCAGTCATTGCCACAAAATGTTTCAAAATACCAATTATTGCCACCTAGTTATTGCCGTAATTAAATAACCACATTTTACTGAAAAAAATCTTGTTTATTAATAAAAATGATCATGTTTATATCAAATAAATGTTGATACATAAAAATAAATTGAACTATATATCTATTGTTTTCCACAGGTTTTAGGCTTCAAATACATCCACTGGCAAATTAAATTCATAACAGATCCATTCACCAGTGGATAAAATAATAGGTGTTGGCAGTGTGCCTAAAATAGGATTTTCATTGACAAAAGAGATCTTTTTCATCACAAATAAAAATATTCTTTTCAGCACTACTTAATAGATTTCATAGATATTCAATACAAACATATTTGTATCTTCTGGATTTTCTTTTACAGCCTATCAATTTCACAAGTACATAGTTTGCCACACTAAATTCTTTGTGAGTTATTAGGCAAAATTTTTTGTAGGGTCTTTATAAAAGTGTATGTCATCACAGCTGTTACCCACTTTTTATCCTCTTCATCATCATCAGATATTTAATGTTTCGGCTTCTCTTTCAATACATGTTTTGGCTCTCTTCCATTATTTCTTTGGTTTTTTCTTCTTCTTTATTTTTATTTCTGTTTTCTTTTTAAGTGATATTCACACCAAGCTTCTGATGTTACTACTGATGGAATCTTTTCCTTTAGTTTTCTCTTCTTTGTCTGAGGTTTTGGGTCTAGCCAAAACAGTGCTTTCTTAAATGGAGTAGGAACTTTGCATGGACTCTCCAAGTGTACCTACAAGTTATGTACTTACTTGGATCAGGAGTATTAATAAATCTCTTTTCAGTACCACACAATATATCTGAGGTATGAGTACCAGAGATGTTTGGTTGGAAAATGTTTAACTGGTGTGCAGTGAGTTGGAAATATAGAAATATTGTTTTGGATGGTATTACATTTGGATTCTTAGGGTTTCCATTGTCCATATGTTAACCACAATAGAACCATTCCAATCCTAATTTTTGTTTAAAGTTACGGTGAACATATTTACAATTTCTTAATATTGTTCTGAAGCTATTTTCTTGTGGCATTGTTAATTAATTACTATTAAACTGGGAATAAGCCACAATTAAAGATAAAAATATGTTTATTACGAAGTGGAAATTGAAACGCCAATAAACATATTTTTTATCTTTAATTGTAGCTTATTCCCAGTTTAATAGTAATTAATTTACAATTTCGTCACCCAGATTTCTTTCAAAATACTTAAGTGCTTGTAGATATTCTTTACATGCACTATCAACAGACTCAGATGTGTTAGAAATTGTGGAACTGGCACTAATGTTTTTTACACTAATTTTTTCAAAGTCAACATTTTCAACATTAAATGGGCATAATCCTGAAGATTTAATTCAGTTCTGAATTAGAAATAGAAAAATGTACTTACCTTAATTTTTCCATAAGAAATCGCAAAAAACTGGAATCAGTTTTACACAACACTACTCTAAGTGGTATACAACAAAAGTGTCTGAAGCTTGAGTGTTGTACAACAGTACATAGTTGCAGAATATAATAAAATATTAGTACTTGCAACAAATGTAATTTAATTTCAAGTCATTTTCTTATTTTCTTAGAATTGAAGGGTCAGTGGCCATAAATGGTACAGTGGAAAGGACTAGTTGTTTATCTTAAATTGTTAAAAAATTACTTAATAAGTAATTGATCCAGGATATATTAAATTATTAAATACAAAATCAAATATATTAAATTAAAGAAATTAAATAATTTTGTAAGATACAACTGCATAATCTATTCTAATCTAATGTTTTTATTAATATTTTGAATTGTAATTGAAAATTGAAAAAGTTATTCTATTTTTCTATCAGCCTAAAAATTGTTAAGTTGTTTAAAAAATTAAAAAATGTTCTTAGACTCTCCTATTTATTCAACTCATTTCAATGATTGGAATTTTATTTGAAAACTCAAATGATCTTTTATATGTTAAAGAATATTTCAAGTATGTAATTATTTTAACTTTTTTTGTAGGCTCTGCATAATTTAGAAAATTTAATTGCAAAACTTTTTTTGTGTTCACAAAATGTTTCTAAAATGCATTGCTGCTGATGAGGAGATATGGCAAAGAAAAAGAGAAAAAAATTGTAATTTTTTCAATTTTTTCACTAATGGTATAATAAATAATTCATCCCATCTTTTAAAGTGTCCACATAGTAAAATTATCATTTATAAAAATATTTCAAAGCAATTAAAGGAAAAAAATAGAATCATATAATATGATATACCCAAATGAGGGTGTTTTATTTAGAATAGATACTACCTGCAGAGAACTAGGAACAGCCACACTCCTTTGATCTTGTGTGGGCAAGCCACCAATGAGTGAAAATGACAGGAAAGCAACCAGCTAACTAATAGTCAGTGGGCATATCACACAATATAAATTTTTAAATAAAATTGAGCATTTATGTTGACTTTCAATAAAAATAAAATATCAATTGTGTTTGTCATATTATATTGAAATTTGGAAGGTACTGCGTCATGCACCAATATTTTTCTTTTATTTTTTTGACAATAAGATTATCTTCAAAATGTAGTTCACAAATCCTATAACTATTATAAAGTATATCCATTTTTAACAATAAATCTTCTCGTCTGCAAGCTTCTATCCACATTTTGGCACTACAAATTTTTAACAGAATAAATTTTAAACAAAGAACTTTTTGTATTTATAAATAATACTTCATTACTTACAACTATAAGAGTATTAGTATATTCTAAATATATTGTAAGTAATGAAGTATTTAACTTTTGTCAATATCTCATCTTAATAAATTTACAGTTTTCTCCTGATTAAGTCACAAAATTGTCACTAAATATTGAGATATACAACAAATAAAGTTTTAATATTTTTTATTTGTAATTCCCATTTAAATATTTATTCCCTAAATATGTTGTGTACTTACTCCAATCCATATATTTGATCTTTGTTATTTATATTTAACTAATTAAACATTGACAGACAACTTTTGTATATAGCAAAAAGTAGATGAGTATTTAGTTTTTTTATAATTTAATTTAAGTTTGTTTATTTGCAACCATGTTTTTATTTTGAAGTCTTGTTCTGTTGTAATTTTAAGATTTTCCCAATTATCTGTCTAACTATGTTTCCAACAATTTTTAGTATGATCATTTTAGGAATTTCTTTGTTTCGTGTGTATACAACCCTCTATATATTTTTATTTCCTAAAAATACTATATTCGTATTGTTTTCTGTGAGCGCTTTCACACCTGTAGGCCAACATCTGTTGATTTTTTGACCTGAGCCTTGGAGACAATAAATTTAATGTTTTTATTTTGAACTATCCCTTGGCAGACCAAAGTTTATTTTTTTATTGCTCCACTTACCGAGAGCTCGGACGGACACGTCGGCCTCGGCTTACTGATCGAAAGTCAAATTAATACTATTATGTAATAACTAATAATAATTACAAAGCAATAGTAATTACCTGTTATTATTCTTAGGAAATCTAAATAAACTTATTCCTTTTCCTGTCACAGATGAACATCCGCGAAATGCACAACAATAACCAGAAGACATTTTAAATACTTATAAATTAAACTTTTAACTATAACTATAAACTTATATATTTTAACTATAACTAGAAACTATAACTATAAACTTTTAACTACTAAGTAAATTAGATAAATGGTCAAATGCACTTGTATAGTTGAGTATTTACCACAGGTGCCTACGGACTATCGTAAACAACCAGAGTTGAAGAAAACGCACATTTTTTTGACAGTAAAGCAACCAGGTTCGAAAAAATAACTGGAGTAATAGTTTTTAAGTCTTCAATGAAATATTTCTGAAAACAGTGAACCACAGCAGTGTTATGTTGTTGATAGTTACTTATGATGCATAGACTTCAGCTTTTAACAGCTCCTAAATCATCATCAAAATAGTAATAAACAAATGGCTGAACTGTGGCTTGTTTGTTGACCCAATGATAGCTCTGGATCTCATCCTACATGAAGAATGTAAAGTTTTCAGAAAAATCTGGTATGATAACACAGTCCTATTTAGTTAGTGAACTCTTCAAGTTTTTAAATGATGAAGACTGTACTTTAGATACATAGTGATGATACTTTAAATCGCTAGCTTTTCATACAAGCGATTAAAAAAAATCATCTCTGGGCTTTGTAATTGTTACCATTTCAGCTCTATCAACGGTTACCCATTGTTTGTACTCAATATCATCCTGCATCTCTTCTATTTCCTCAGATTTCCTCTATTTGTATTTATTGTGACATTTGGTGAAAATACATTAATTTTTATTTCATTAGACAGTTTATTGGAATTTTAATTACTCTACCTCAAACACTCAAATTAATGATTTTTTGCCATTTTCTCAGGCCTGTAACTCCTATATACATTAAGTCTACAACTTCAAATTTTTACCCCTTATTCTACTCATTAGGATTTAACATTCAACCAAATTTAAAATTTTTACTTGCTTGCCCATCAGAGATATAAGGGGTAAAACTTTGAAATTTTTCAAAAAATTAAATTTTTGTACTGTCTATAGACTGAAGTTAGTCAATAGTCAAGCATCCCCCTTTGGACCACTTGGCATGGATTGATCCAGTAATATAACGCCAGTATAGAAGCTTCGCCTTAAAAAATTAAAATTATTTTTTAAATTGAACCATTGAATGCTTAATAAAAAATAAATGGCAATCAGGAAAACAGCAGTTACAATCTAAGTGTTATCAAAAATAGATCCTTTATTTAATTGGCATTTTTAAAATTTACTTAATTCATGATAAGGACTTCATAATTCTTTAGAACCAAAGGTTATCAGTGCGTGTGGAATGTCTTAAGTACAAAATTATTATTTGACCCTGAAGATGTTTTTACTTTGGATTGCGGAATTAAAATTATAACACTAGATATAATCAGTATACAGAGCTTCAGATATAATTAACATTTTTGCAACTTTCCATTTTCCAAAAGGTATATCAAGCAGTATGTATTTTACGAAGGATAACTGATTTATAAATATTTATTTCTTCAATTATTGGTATGTACAATACAGCCAAGTTAGAATTGGCTTTCTACTTATATTGTTTTCTTCAATTTATATGTGATATTGTTGGAACAATTTATATGTGGAATATTTAATATTATAAGATAAAGATAAGTAGTGTTTATTTTATATGGTTTTTTATTTTGTACATTTATATGATTAAGCTTATTTGATGTGTGGTTTTGCTAATTAATCAACAATATCTGATACTTTTATCAACTACAATAATTATTAAATAAAGAAAAAGAAAATTAATTGATAAAGTGCAAATTAATTGGACCAAATATTTGGTCAGCATTATCACTGTGTGCAATAGCATTACCACAATAGTGTGCAAAGACAATAATTTTCCTTAGCATAGTTCCAACCAATGTTTGGCAGTAATCTGGTTGAAAGTGAATCCAAATTTCCCGAACTTTACCCTTTAATTCAAGACTTGTGCGAACTGGCATAATTCGAAGTGCTTTCCATCTGATTCCAAAGAGTTTGGATAGGGGACATAACAGGACTACTTGAAAACCATTTTAAAACAAGAATATTCATTTCCTGCAACCAATATGTTACAGATTTCACTGAAAAATAATTCCCCCATTTGACAGTCAAATTTCATTAATGGAAGGCAACAAGTTTCCTTGTAAAATACTTTTGTACTTCAGAGAGAAGTCCAACTTCTTGAGAGGATGGACAGCTACATAACATCACAGATGCCGGGAATTTAACCTTTCTTTTGAGACAATCTTGGTGATAGTCTTCCCCTGGAATTCGAATAAGTACTTCATGTACCGCCAACACAGATCTCAAACTTTTTCAAGGTGGTTCATCAATTCCAGTGGCGTAGCTAGAATGGGTGACACCCGGGGCGGTAATCGATGGTTTCACCCCAT